ATCAGAAGTAACTGGAGGTTCTGGTTTGCACCGCCAAAAAGCTGCGCTTACGGGGAAACCCCCAGGGGAATGAAACCCTGGCTTTTCTCTTTTTTCCCCCTGACCTTCTTGCAGGCAGGCAGGTGGTAGGACGAAGTGGCCGAGAACCACCGATGACTTTGCTCCTGCACCAGTACTGGCCCATGCAGAGAGGTAACAGGAGTGAAAGACTGTAGCTCTGCCCTCCAAGTAATCGAGGCTCTCGTGTATTCTGAAAGAGAAAAAGATAGCTGGTTTCCAAAGGTAAATCTGGGGAAAAAAAAAAACAACACACACCAAAAAAATTTAGAGGGATATTGTCATTAAAACTGACCTGCTCCAATATTTTTGCCAAAAGCACGTAATTTTCTAACTATGAGACCCTACCAGCAATATCCCATAACCGTCCTGGCTGCCAGCACCTCCTGAGGGCAGCCTGGAGGGAGGACACCACAGACCAGGTAAACATGTATTTTTAGGGACTAAATAGCACCACTTTGCACTTTGCCCTTGAGATGAGACTGTTTCTTTGGGGAGGGGGAAAATGTGATTTTTATTTATTCTTAACCCTGCTGACCACTGCTGGCTCATGGCACGGTCCCCAAACAGCAGCAGCACTACAGCTAAGCGAGGAAGGGTGGGTGGAGGATTCTGCAGCACTCACTGTTCTCTTCAGAGAGGAATTAAATTTTTTTTGCTGGGTTTAAGGGTATGGATAATGATTACATTTTTCTCAAGAAATAATCTGAATATATACACTGAAAATATATATATATATACATATATATATATATACAAAAAATTATATAGAACTCTCCTTGGGGCAATCCAGTCTGGCAGGATGCTGTGACAGAAGGAAGGTCGTTACTCCAGGTTTTTCAGGATTCCCCTCCTGCAACTGGAGGATTACAAAATCTAAGCCAGTTTTAAGCAATCATGTGTTACAAGAAGCTGCTTAGTCCAGCCTAGCAAAGCCTGCTGCAGAGCACTGCAAGACAATATTGCAGTTTCCTTTCACATAAATATATTTACGTGATATTGACTACATACAAATATTCACTAGCCAGAGGAAGACCCTGAATAGCCTTTCCTTATAGTTGTACAAATGTTCTTGAGCTCTCTGATTTATTATATTATTAAGCAAGCAGAAGGAAAATAGCAATGCAGCCCTTTTCCAACCACCTTTACCCCCACACCTGCTTTCAGAGTTAACTTGTGCTGGTTTTTTAGCACCTGGTTCATTCCTTGGGGATGGTGTCGCCTGTATTTTAGACCCTGAGTTTTCTAGTAGATCAAATCAAAGGTAGCAAGAAAAATCAGCACAATTAGTTTAATTTACCTCAGAGTTAAGCCAGCCTAACATATGGGTGGCTTTTGCAGCCGTTTTCTGTTTTCTCTAGCTAAAGTTTAGTGGGTATGAGTTTTCAGTGTGTCGTGTCCCTGTGTCCCTGTGTCCCCCCCAGGAGTAAAACCCTGGCAGACCTGTACCAGGCACCTTAAAAACACCACCCTGACTTTTAAAGGATGTCGGCATCCATTAAATACTTTAAAACAATTATCCACGCCTTCATTGATCTTTCACTCTACAGACATTGCGTGGAGAGGGCTCAACATGAGCGTGAAATGGGGTGACAGGCATTTCCTAAGCAAGGAAGGTGCTGCCAGCATGGGGATGACATGGGGGTGGGGGGCAGGATGGGACACAGGTGGGGGAC